TTCTCCTCCTCTTTTTCCCCTGTTCTCCTCCGCTGTTCTCCTCTCTCCCCTGTTCTCCTCTGTTTCTCTCTCTCTCTCTCTTGTTCTCCTCTCCTCTGTTCTCCTCTGTTCTCTATTCTCCCTCCTCTGTTTTCCCCCCTCTGTTCTACTCTCTCCTTCTGTTCTCCTCTTTCCCCCTCTCTCCTCTGTTCTCTCCTCTTTCTCCTCTCTCTCCTCTGTTCTCCTCCTCTGTTCTCCTGTGTTCTCCTATGTTTCTCCTCTCTCCTCTGTTCTCCTCTGTTCTCCCTCTGTTCTCCTCCTCTTTCTCCTCTGTTCTCCTCTGTTCTCCTTGTTTTCTCTCTCTCCTCTGTTCTCCTCTGTTCTCCCTCCTGTTCTCCTCTTTTTCTCCTCTTCTCCTCTGTTCTCCTCTCTCCCCCCTTTTTTTCTCCTCTATTCCCCTCTCTCCTCTGTTCTCCTCTGTTCTCCTCTCTCCTCTGTTCTCATTTGTTCTCCTCTGTTCTCTTCTTTTCTCCTCTCTCCCCTGTTTTCCTCTGTTCCCCTCTCTCCTCTGTTCTCCTCTCTCTTCTCCTCTGTTCCCCCCTCTGTTTTTCCTCCTCCTCCCTTTTCCTCTTTTTCTCTTTCCCTCTGTTCTCCTCTCTCCTCGTCTCCTCCTCTGTTCTCCTCTGTTCTCCTCTGTTCTCCTCTCCTCTCCCCTCTTGTTCTCTCCTCTGTTCTCCTCTGTTCTCCTCTGTTCTCCTCTCTCCTCTGTTCTATTCTGTTCTCCTCCTCTCTCCTCTGTTCTCCTCTCTCCTCCTCTGTTCTCCTCTGTTCTCCCCACTCCTCTGTTCTCCTCTGTTCTCCTCTCTCCTTTGTTCTCCTCTTGTTCTCCTCTCCTCCTCTGTTCTCCTCTTTCCACTGTTCTCCTCCTTTCCTCTGTTGTCCTTTGTTGTCCTCTGTTTCTCCTCGCCTCTCCCCTCTCCTCTGTTCTCCTCTGTTCTCTGTTCTCCTCTGTTCTCCTCTGTTCTCCTCTCTCCTCTTGTTCTCCTCTGTTTCTCCTCTGTTCTCCTCTCTCCTCTGTTCTATTCTGTTCTCCTCTCTCCTCTGTTCTCCTCTCTCCTCCTCTGTTCTCCCCACTCCTCTGTTCTCCTCTGTTCTCCTCTGTTCTCCTATGTTGTCCTCACTCCTCTGTTCTCCTCCTCTCTCCTCTGTTCTCCTCTGTTCTCCTCTCTCCTCTGTTATCTTCTGTTCTCCTCCTCTCTCCTCTGTTCTCCTCTCTCCTCTGTTCTCCTCTCTCCTTTGTTCTCCTCTGTTCTCCTCTCTCCTCTGTTCTCCTCTGTTTCTCCTTCTCTCCTCTGTTCTCTCTCCTCTGTTCTCCTCTCTCCTCTGTTCTCCTCTGTTCTCCTCCTCTCCCCTCTGTTCTCCACCCGGTTTCTCTTCTGGTCTCCTCCTCTCTCCTCTGTTCTCGCGTCTATTTCCCTATCTCCTCTGTTCTCCTCTTCTCCTCTTTCCTCTTTTCGCCTCCCTTCCTCTGTTGTCCTCTATTGGTCCCTCTGTTCTCCGCTCTCCTCTGTTCTCCTCTGTTCTCTGTTCTCCTCTGTTCTCCTCTGTTCTCCTCTCTCCTTTGTTATCCTTTGTTCTCCTCTGTTCTCCTCTCTCCTCTGTTGTCCTCTGTTCTCCTCTCTCCTCTGTTCTACTCTGTTCTCCTCTGTTCTCCTCTGTTCTCCTCTCTCCTCTTGTTCTCCTCTGTTCTCCTCTCTCCTCTGTTCTATTCTGTTCTCCTTTCTCCTCTGTTCTCCCCACTCCTCTTGTTCTCCTCTGTTCTCCTCTGTTCTCCTCTCTCCTCTGTTCTCCTCTGTTCTCCTCTCTCCTCTGTTCTCCTCTCCTCTGTTCTCCTCTCTCGTCTGTTCACCTCTCTCCTCCTCTGTTCTCCTCTGTTCTCCTCTCTCCTCTGTTCTCCTCTCTCCTCTCTCCTCCTCTGTTCTCCTCTGTTCTCCTCTTTCCTTTGTTCTCCTCCTCTCTCCTCTGTTCTCCTCTGTTCTCTTCTGTTCTCCTCTCTCCTCTGTTCTCCTCTGTTCTCCTCTCTATCTGAGGATTGTGTTGTTGTGTTCTAGTGCAGTTTTATTTGGCCCTGCTTCCTTTGAAGCCTCAACTACTCTGTCTCTCACTCTCTCTTTCTCTCCCTCTCTCTTTCACTCCCTCTCTCTTTCTCTCCCTCTATCTTTCTCTCTCCCTGTCTCTCTCTGTCTCACCCTCTCTTCTTTCTGACTTTAGACAAGCAATCACACAAATACGCACACACACACGGCACTCACAAACAATGTATCTGGGCAGAGGCTCTATGTGGCCTACATTTAAACAGTCTGTCTAGTGTTTTCACTGCTACTCCTGTAAGCACTCAGATCATCAATGCAGACTGATGTTGTGAAGCTATGATGAGAAATGATTAGAAAATCACATTTTCTATTTGTGATTATATTTATTAGATGATAACAGCTACAGCAGACATCTCAACACCGCCTAACCTCACCTCTCATGACTACAGTCCATATCTTACATTTATTCTGTTCCATAAAGGGCTTGGAGGGGTCATGTGGAGCTTTGACTTCAACCATAATCATCTCCATTTATTTTAATGAGAAGTCTCCTATGGGGAGATTTCATTTAGTGTCATTGAATAGTCATTTAGTGGACTGTCTCAGTAAGCTGCATGCACACAGCGAAGGTCCTCACTCACAATCAATTTATTTATCACACACTCACACACACACACACACACACACACACACACACACACACACAGACACAGACACAGACACAGACAAACACACACTCCTAACCCCTTCTCTCTCCCTTTCTCCCCCAGCGGTCCAAGCTCTCTCACACACACACACACACACTCCTAACCCCTCCTCTCTCCCGCCAGCGGCCTAAGATCACACACACACTGTGGTCGGTGGTATTCACAGATGTCTGATACTGACAGAGAAGACTGGGTTCATTACTCAGATAATGTTTTGTAAGGGAGTCTGAGACTATTTCAGACTGAATGGCCCCTTTCATTAATTGAGATCCCATTGTTCTGGCTAGACATTTAAGATGTGGGTAAATAAATATTTATTCTCTGTCCAAATCAGAAATTAGTGAACACCCTCTTTTTTGTTTACTGAGGGCTCTGTTTAATCAAGGTGTTGCCTGGTGACATATCTTTGTTCTCACACAGGACACGTTCTGAATCTATAAGCATCTACCTGTGAGGAGAGTCTACTGAATATTCTCACAGTGTCTGAAACCATTCTGCAGTATCATTTCAGTACAGTCGATACGAGATACGATGCCAGTTTGATTGAATTTATCGCTCAGAATTGCTACATTAACAGCTCTTCATTTGACAGGATCTCAACTGTTGTTACCCTGAAGACTTATTTTTCACTACTGTGAAATACTGTTGTTGTGTTTTGACCTTGTCCTAGCTCCATCCCTGATGTGTACTGTTGTGTTTTGTTGGGAAAACCCACTCCTCTTTCAACCCCATTCCTGCCTTCTATCCCCATCCCACCACCAATCACTCTGCTGCCTCATCTACTCGACCTCTAACCTCTAACCCACCACCAATCACTCTGCTGCCTCATCTACTCGACCTCTAACCTCTAACCCACCACCAATCACTCTGTCGCCTCATCTACTCGACCTCTAACCTCTAACCCACCACCAATCACTCTGTCGCCTCATCTACTCGACCTCTAACCTCTAACCCACCACCAATCACTCTGTCGCCTCATCTACTCGACCTCTAACCTCTAACCCACCACCAATCACTCTGTCGCCTCATCTACTCGACCTCTAACCTCTAACCCACCACCAATCACTCTGCTGCCTCATCTACTCGACCTCTAACCTCTAACCCACCACCAATCACTCTGTCGCCTCATCTACTCGACCTCTAACCTCTAACCCACCACCAATCACTCTGTCGCCTCATCTACTCGACCTCTAACCTCTAACCCACCACCAATCACTCTGCTGCCTCATCTACTCGACCTCTAACCTCTAACCCACCACCAATCACTCTGTCGCCTCATCTACTCGACCTCTAACCTCTAACCCACCAACAGGGTATATTATTATATACTGTACATGAACACATACACGTTCATGTCTGACTCTACCTGGGATGAGAGAGAGAGAGCGAGAGAGAGAGAGAGAGAGAGACAGTTCCTGGGATGGAGAGAGACAGGTAGCCTATCAGAGAGGTGCTATAGATATGGATGTGGTAGTTAAGTTCGCTGAGGTAGTTGGTGGTCTTCTTTCAATGCTAGAGTCAATTATCAACTAAGAAAGAAATGAGAGAAACTTCACTCTACTCTAAAGGGAGTTTTGACACTCAACAACTAAGCATATTTGTATGGATCGAATGCTGATAACCCTTCATTTCTGAACACTGAATTCCTGTCTCTAAGAATGTTAAGGGTGGATGGAATATTGATAGTTCTCAATTTCCATAGCAAGCCATATCCGCATAGTGGAAACATTGAAAGGACAAAATCATCCAGAGACATGCAGGCAGGCAGGCTTCCATATCTGAAGCATCTCCCCATGATATCTGCTCTCTCCCTCTAAGAGGTCCTGTCCTCTCTTTGGTTAAGCCTGACTCAAGTATGGCCAGCAAGCATTTCAGTCCATCGAGATATAGAAGTAATATACTGTATATAAAGCATTTAGAATGCCCAAACTCAAGATCAACCCTGCTCCATAGTATATTCACTCCATATATCGCCATTGTCTTAGCCAAGCAGGCGATTCAACATTCATAATCATAACCACTACTTAACCTACCTATCCATATACTCTTTCAAACCCTAACACAGTTATTATTATTAAAATATAGCTCCAACATTTTCATTATCACTCTGTACAGTCTATAAATATATATTTATATACCTGTCCATAATATACAGTTGATAGTATTTCCTAACCCAGTAAAACTGACCCAGTTATGATTGTATCTATTATCGTTCTAAAGAAACCCTGTTAACCTGGCCGTGTTAAAACTGAACGAGCAAGGCCTGTTGGACAAACTGAAAAACAAATGGTGGTACGACAAGGGCGAGTGTGGCAGCGGGGGCGGGGACTCCAAGGTCAGAACCCTGTTTCAACCAACCACGCTGATCCACCAGGGGGGTAACTGGCCAATCACAAAGCTGCTCAGACACTCTGGATGGAAACACTTCCTGACAACTCTGTATGAAGGGTGGGGGGGGGCTTAATACACAAGAGAGACACATGATATTGTATCTCTCCCTAGCCATGGATAGGTCTATGGCCCGACTTCAACACGAAGGGTAACAAGTACTTCATCGCTGTGTGTAGGGGCCAACTTAAAACTACAGAGAGACATCATACTCTCTCCCTAGCCAACATAAACTACTGTAGTCCTTCTGGGAGGAGGGTGTCTGGAATTGGCACAGTTTGAATTTTAGTAGCCCCTCCCTTACCCTGTTCTCATGAATAAGTAAGGATAGCGTTCATTCATGCATAAGTTCCCTGGTAAGCTGATACACTGAAGACTCCACACACACAAACAGCAGAATTGGGTTTGTTTGTATCTCTGTGCCCCAGCATCTCCTACTAACTAGACGCTCCTACAGCTTTTAAAGGGGAATAGAATCCAGAATCAGAATCTTTTCTGACGTGTTGTGTTCCGTAACAGAGGGTCCACAGCTAGTGTGCCGGTTACCCAAAGTGATACAGTAATACACATCTACTATCGTACAGTACAGTAGGGAGACAGAGCCCACAGAGATAGATGGAGTATTAACACATATCACTTTGACTCTGATGTACATGTATGTTGCTAATGATGTTGATGTATACTTTATGTATTTGCCTGTGAGTGAACGTGTGTGTGAGGGTTCAAACTTCTTACCAGTGACACAGCTAAAGTGCAGTAAACCCTGATGCGTAGATGTGGTATATGATTGAAAATGTTCTGAATGACTGACATAATATAACATATGTTATGCTATGTTATTTATGTTATGGCCCTGCCCTGCCCTGCCCTGGGTGTGGTGTGGGTGTACGTGCAGGATCCCGGTAAACCTAGCCGTGTTGAAGCTCAATGAGCAGGCCGTCTTAGACAAACTAAAGAACAAATGGTGGTACGATAAAGGAGAGTGTGGCAGCAACGACTCCGGACGCAAGGTCAGTCACACACTATAACTCAGTCCTTATACCCCCAAACACACCCGCATAAAACCCCTGATCCTAGACCAGTCCTTATACCCCAATCACTCCTCGCATCCTCCTCAAAACCCCTGATCCAAGACCAGTCTGAAACTACAAAAGCCCTGTAAAGTCTGTTCCCAGACCAGCCCTTATATCTCAAACTGTCGCTCTCTCTCTCTCAGTTCACTACTTAGACATGCCACTGGTTCTCATTAGTATGGTAACTGAGATTGGCGGACTCTTGCTCTCTCTCTCTCTCTCTCTCTCTCTCTCTCTCCTCCTCTCTCTCTCCTCTCTCTCTCTCTCTCTCCTCTCTCTCTCTCTCTCTCTCTCTCTCTCTCTCTCTCTCTCTCTCTCTCTCCTCTCTCTCTCTCTCTCACTCACTCACTCACTCACTCACAGGGAGCCAATCACTGTTCTCTCCATAATGAGGCCAAAGATTGAATGAACTACTAACCTTGATGGTTGAGGTGAAACAGTGGAGTTTACGTCGTTAAATAAAATATATTAGAGGTCATATGTTGTGATACACAAGAACATATGCTGCCTGCTCCTTATTGCAGAACATTAGCCGCGTACACAGTACCTCTAAGCAATACAAGTAGGCATGTGTGTTCTTTGAAGAGAGTGTAACATTCACTTTCTATTTCCCTCGACTCATCTGTGAGGTTGTTTTGGAGTGATGTATAGCTAACGTATGATGTCGATCTTGTTGCTATAGCCAAGGTAATACAGGAGGGAAATCACAGGCATCCCTCATGTAAGAGAGTCAGAATGAGATTGTCCTCATGTGTAGTACCACATAATGCTGAAGTACATTATTGTAAAGTGCACCGATCTAGCCAATATCAACCAGAGGGAATAGAAACATACAGAGAAATAGCACGTACAGCGCATTCGGAAAGTATTCAGACCCCTTTACTTTTTCCACTTTTTGTTACGTTACAGCCTTATAAAAAAAGAAAAAAAAAGAAATACCTTATAAGTATTCAGACCCTTTGCTATGAGACTCGAAATTGAGCTCAGGTGCATCCTGTTTCCATTGATCATCCTTGAGATGTTTCTACAACTTGATTGGAGTCCAGCTGTGGTAAATTGCAATTGATTGGACATGATTTGGAAAGGCACACACCTGTCTATATAAGGTCCCACAGTTGACAGTGCAAAAACCAAGCCATGAGGTTGAAGGAATTGTCCGAAGAGCTCCGAGACAGGATTGTGTCGAGGCACAGATCTGGGGAAGGGTACCAAAACATTTCTGCAGCATTGAAGGTCCCCAAGAACAGAGTGACCTCCATCATTCTTAAATGGAAGAAGTTTGGAACCACCAAGACTCTTCCTAGAGCTGGCCACCCGGCCAAACTGAGCAATCAGGGGAGAAGAGCCTTGGTCAGGGAGGTGACCAAGAACCCGATGGTCACACTGACAGAGCTCCAGAGTTCCTCTGTGGAGATGGGAGATCCTTCCAGAAGGACAACCATCTCTGCAGCACTCCACCAATCATGCCTTTATGGTAGAGGGGCCAGACGGAAGCCAAAAGTCACCTAAAGGACGCTCAGACCATGAGAAACAAGATTCTCTGGTCTGAAGAAACCAAGATTGAACTCTTTGGCCTGAATGCCAAGCGTCACGTCTGGAGGAAACCTGGCACCATCCCTACGGTGAAGCATGGTGGTGACAGCATCATGCTGTGGGGATGTTTTTCAGCGGCAGGGACTGGGAGACTAGTCAGGATCGAGGGAAAGATGAACGGAG